TAATTTTTCGCAAATTTTGCTTTTCGCAACCGTGCCAAAACAAGTGCTGTTGCTGAAATCGCATCCATATTTTCAGAAAATGCTCCAAAGCTGCTAATATCGCAACCTAGAATTGGAGAGCTCTTGTGCAAAAACCACAAAAAAGGGAGGAGAAATAGCAGAAGTGCAGCGACAGCAAACTCGTAGATCTACACCCCTTCCTATACCACTTCACACAGTGCCAGTAGCCTGTTGCACGTACATGTATCCTACATGAAGACCTACATCATTCCAGTGCAAGGGAAATGGAATGCACATTATCATAACTACGGCTTATCTACTGTTTCTCTGAAATCAGTCTGAAGGCAGGCGAGAAATGAGCATTTGTCCCACATGTAGTCCGCGAGTCGGTGACTAGAACTTTTGACCCCATGCCATGGGGTCAATTCAGACTCAATTGCGCCAAGGTTGCGGAAAAGTTGCGAATAGTTCGCGAAAATGAAGAAAGATGCGAAAGTTACGATTTCTTCCTAAACAACGAAAAGTTGCAAAAAAGTGGCGAGCATCTTTGGGAAGGGGCTAGCTCCTGCTGCTGCTCAACCTGCTACAAAATGTGAACATGAGTCTGTTTTGTCCAACCTTTGTGCTCGTTTTCGACCTTGGTGACTGATTGTGTTGGGAAAGTCCCGAAGATGCCTTGCATTTTCCGAAAAGCCCATCAAAATTCGATATCTTGCTTAAAACCTGCCGGCAACTTGCGTATCCGGTATTTTGCTCAAAGAATTGCTAACAAATTTGGGTTATGACTAGTACGAGTGCGGCAAAAAGCTCAACTCTCAACTCCCGTTCATTCTCTTCCAAGTTCACGATCTCTCTGTACGTCTCGTGGAATTTGTCCTCCATTCCCTTCAGGGCGGTTATTTCTGCCTTCAATTACCTTCCCACTTCTGTGAAGTCTGACAGGGATGAGCACAGGCTCACAACAGCATGATTGCTACCAGAAAGACTTGAACCTTTGTAGGTGGCGTCCTGTGATTCACTCAGTGCAGCAACAAGTTCGGTCCTCATTGCTTTCCGCGGGATGTCCAGACCACGCTGTCGGATGAGGTCCCTCAGCTCTGAGTGGATCAATAAAACAATGTCCACTTTGTCAGTGGACTTGCCAGCCATATACTGGGTACAAAGTAAAATGGAATCCGAGCCCCAAAAGGCGCAAGGAATAGGTCTTTTGCCAAATAAGACACGCAGTGACTTGGCGGGGCATGGCATGCGTACTGAATGCGTGACCCAGGCACGCCATACATGCAGTGCATTCCTCCCAGCGCGAGCTCTTGTTCTGGAACCGCAACGATCAATCACCGCGTTTGGCGTGTACTCACCCAGGCGGCCAGAAAAAACGAGACTCTCTCCTGGATCGGAAAAAACTGACAGCGAAGGATTCTATTTTCTTCTCGCTTCTTCATTGCTGTCCGATTTGTAGAAAGGTTTTTTTGCATTTACTTCTTGCTGGACCTTTGTGATATGTTTGATACATGGCTGATGAAGCGGTCAATGAGCCGAGCACATCTCTTGTGGCGGTACGTTGGCAACTTGCGATGAAGGGAATGTTGATAGTAGTCCTGCGAGGGAGAATCAAGTTGAATTAGCGATCCCAAAGCTCGGTTTTTGATGCCTTTGGACAACGAGTCCTTTGAAAAATGGACAATCAACCAGTTGAAGACTTACCTGCGAGCTAGAGAAGCCGGAGTGTCCAGGAAACGGGGTAATTTGCTCGATCGGTAAGTACCACTTCAGGATGCAGTCTTCAACATTTCGCACAAGTACATTTTATCGATACATGTTTTACATTCTAACTTTCTCCATCTGTTCAGGGCCTGGTTCTATCACATCGATCCAATACTGTGCACTCCAGATATATTTGGCGGCAGGCATTGGCAAGGAAAGCGGAAACCCGCTGCCATTCAGAGCATTGTTGACGCTGAGCTCGTGGAACTTCGCGGCGGCCCATAGCGACGCAATGAGCATAATTGTCCCTCTAGCAGCTACATTTCGTCCTAGTTTTCCTGAAACTGGGTCCAGCTCTGCTCTACCAAAGGATCTATTGTATGGTTGCAAAGATACTTTTATATTCGCCCTTGTAAGTCTGTTGTGACCATGGAAATTGATAAACCGCCAGCACTAATATTCATCAAGAGGGGTTTTATTATTCATTGCACTTTTTGCAAATATTGCAATCTAAATTATATCATACTATCCACATTTATACCGACTAAGTCATTAGCTGCTCCGTATTGTGCATGATTGTTCAGGCATGACAAAATTTGTGTTGCTGAAGATCGATTCGCCATGCAATGCTAGCAACAGTTGGCATGGAAAACATATTTGCTTCAGCAAGTAAAGGAGCCTAGGATACTGTGAGCAGGCAGCGAACAATCCATATCTGAATGATGATAGGGAAAAGAATTGTTGGAACGATCTTTGAAAAGATAGAGAACTCCCTGGTTCGCTCCATCAGACACTCAACATGAATTCGTAACGTGGCAATTGGTTGCGTTTTCTGGACATCTTCTAAGGCCATCTGTTGCTTGATCGCTTGAACGGGGGAATGTTCAACTTTACGCCATGTGGCATCAAGAGATCCCCGATGTCAAATCCTTGGTCTGCCATAATCAAAGTCCCATAGCCTGCTACTGGCAGAAGATCTAAGTAGTGGCTTCTGATTGTGAGCTCGTGGTCACTGGTGGATCCCGTAAATAATATAATATAATAATCTGTATTTCAGATGACTTGGAGGTAAGCACCGCACCACCATCTGGGGTCATACGGATGATGCACTTCAAGGTAGTAACGTTATGCGTCTTATATGAGCTGTAGAGTTGCGACTGCGCAGACAGACTGGAATCGATATTACATTTCAGCACTGTAGCATCTATGATCATGAATGTTGTAGGATGCAGCTTTTTGAAAACATCCAGCAATCGTTCTGCCAATTGGGAAGGACGCGGCGAGATTGGTATGTGTGCCATGGCGAAGACTAACCATGGTAATGAAAAAGCTCTCCACGCCAATTAACCTAATCTTCCGTTCATCACCTGGTTTCCTTTTCCTGGAATCGGCATCCACTGGTTTACTGCGAAAGGAAAGACGCTCTTATTATCCAGGTGAAGAAATTGAATACATGCATCCAACGCAGCAAGCAAAGGAAAACCAGTGTAGTACTGAATGTCAGAGTCTTCAAACCGAGCTAAATCTCCAGGCTGAACTCCACTTGGATATCGTCGATAGCGACTATAGTATTCATCAGTGAAATGGTTAGAACACACCACTATATTGTATGACATGATGGTACCCGTAGCCATTCCGCTCATCTCAACGAATGGCGGCAATCCAAGACTTTCTTGTGTCCAACTCGTCACTGCTCACGCTCTTAGCTTCTCCAGTTTTCGATTCCTTGCTAGCAGGGAAGACATTGAACAAAGTATTTTGTCTGAACGTCGGTCGCTGTTGCACTGCGGAACGCAGCAGTGTCGCCTTTCCCATGGCTAAAAAATCTGGAGAGATCTTCTAGAAAACAAAACTAAACCCTTTACAAGAACTAGGCAGAGAAAATCCAGTGACCGTCCTCATTATATTATTCTAGAATGTCGATCGCGATCGCGATCGCTTGAAGAAACATAGTTTTTGAAAAACACAAGGAAAACAAAAAAAGGAAAGTCACTATTTTCTCGACGCGTGGGTGAGTACACGCCAAACGCGGTGATTGATCGTTGCGGTTCAGGAACAAGAGCTCGCGCGTGACTCGTAATGCACTGCATGTATGGTGTGCCCGGGTCACGCATTCAGTACACATGCCATGCCCCGCCAAGTCACTGTGTGTCTTATTTGGCAAAAGACCTATCACGAAAAAGGTGGACCCTTTCCTGGAGCTCCAAAAAAGGTCTACTGCTCTCAACGGAGTCAAGGGAAAACCAGCAAGTAAGACTCGGATGAAGAGGCAAGGTATAAATTTAGAAGCTAGAGAAGACCAAAATGTCACATGTTATCCGTAGTTTGTGTCCAACGCTAACAGTTTTAACCCAGGTGTTGTGTGGTCAGAAGGTGCAACAGCTAGCACAATACTCACTGATGTGCCACTGGCATTCAACGACCTGATGAGAAGCTCTATCACGTCTTGGATGCGCAAACCAACCGTCTTCCAACTTGGAAGGGTAGAAAAAAAAACAGAATTCCCATTACTTGCTTCATTAATATGTTTTTTTACACTTTTGCCAGCTAGCTGGCCTCTGCGCACACCGCAGACACACCCACACACAACAGAAAGATACAGATCACAATAGTAGTAGTGTGGTCTTTGTTCACTGACGGTGGAATATGGAAGAGCTTAGCGTAGTGTATACATGAGCAAGAAGAAGGGCATGCCACCTCACACATATACATGTACACGTATGTACCAGACCAACATGGTGCAAAAAGTGAACCACTGTGGTGAATGGGGCCGCCGGATAATTAACCAACCCGAAGCTGGCGGAAAAAACCCCAGGACCCCGGCGGAGGCACATTCCTGAGGAAAAACCGGTTAGAATATCCCCATCAGATAAATGAAAAAACGTAGCCTGCTGGACCTATCCAGAAGTGAGAATAAAGGGGAGGGCGGTTGGGAAACTACAACAAAAAGAGAAAGACCACGATGAAGAGAAAAGCTTGAGATCACTTAAAAAATCCAGTTAACACAATCCTGGTACCGTAACTAAGGTGAAAATGCTGGCAAAAATTAAATTTTTCTTTTCATTCGCTACGCTCAGCCAACGACAAAATAACACTAATTTTTATTTTTTTATGGAGCAAATCCAAAAGCGAGTTTCTTCCCAATAATAAGAAGGGGAAGAGACAACGTATAAGAGAAGGAAGAGATGAAGGTAAAAGCCCGGTGGTCGTATCTACAGCAAAACAAAAGCCAGGGTGGACAGCCTATTGACTTCCAGGAAGACGTCCATTAGGGACTTCTCGGAGTTCTCAGCAACAGGTGCTCCATTGATGTACTGATCTTGCTGATTATCACCATCGCCAGTGATGTCGGACTGTCCTCACAACTGTAACGAACAAGGAACACACAAATCAAGAGTAGGGTCAAACGAATCAAAAGAAACCAGCAAATACACAGAAAAGCTTTCACCAGGATGAACGTCTTTGGCCAGCGTAATACCAAGATTCTACAGTGTTCAACTACCATCGCGTCTTTTCGCCGATGGCCGAGATTTTTTGATGTGCAATGTTAACGTAACCTTTTTCAGGAAACATCACGCGTGTCGTACAGAGCACGTGCAGAGTCGCAGACGCCGCAGAGCAGTGGGAGTGCACGTGCTGGGCTCCGACCTTCAACAGGAGTCTGTGTTTTTGTGGTTTTTGTGCTGTTTTGTTTTTGACTGAAGAACTTTAAGCTCTCCCACTCCTGCAGTATTTCCTGCACACGGGTTTTTCCTGATGTCAAAGTACGTGCACTATCTTCCGGACAGCGGATATGACTTGAAAACTGAAAATCATTTTCAATCAAGCAAGACTGGATGATTACGCCGAGATGCGTTCAACATAAGGGTTTGTGTTAAACCTTTCCAGCTACCCACAGTCAACTGGGATCTTGTGGCCAGGCACAAGGGGTACATGGATGCAGCTAATGGGGCCGTTCTCGGCACTTGTGCCAGTGGTTGTGAGACTTATCCACTCACCCCCACCGTTAGGCGCTGCATCTGCCGCTAGGATTTACCGGGTGTTAGCGGCCGTCGTGAGTTTCCTTCGGGAACGGACACGATAATTTACTTACTTACTTTCCAACAATTCGCCCACACTTTTACGTTCAATAGTGGACAACAACATTTTGGGGATTGATGAGCGCTTCGCTGCAGGGGCCATGTTTTCCATTTGGGGATAAACAAGGGTTACCACGATTCTCTCTTCCATAGAGAGGTGCATCTCGGCCAGTAGCCCTGTCCGAGACTACAATGATGCAAAATAGGAGAAGAAGAAGAAACACCCAGCGATTGAGAGTTTGTGTTTGTGAGTGTGCACATGTGTGTGCACGTGTGTGTGTGTGTGTGTGGATGTTTGGATGTGTGTCTGTGTGTGTCTGTGTGTGTGTCCCATATGGTGCAGTGGTATGGGAAGCGATTTCCAATCGATAGATTGCGGGTTCGATTCCCAACGATTATGGTCACACACGTCTTTCTTCTCTTTCTCAGACTCTTCCTGTCTTTTCTTTCATTCTCCTGGGTGGTTACCAACAGCCAATGCATGCCGGAGTATGTGGTGTGATGTGTGTGCGGGAAAAAAATAAAAAGACCAAAAAGTAGGGATTCACTGGCCAGAAAAAGCCACTTCATAGCTGTGTGGTGTAGACCAGGCTGGATAGTGGCGGTCAATTATTCAGCCTTACAAGCTGCTGAATGGTGTAATCCCAGCACACGTTGCTATGTCTAACATAGCTGTTCGCTATCATTGCTTCCGCGATGGGCATGTCTGAGGTCATAGGTGTCTGTGTGTGTACGCGCGCGTGTGTGTGTGTGTGTGTGTGTGTGTGTGTGTGTGTGTGTGTGTGCAATGGTGTGGGCATGTGTGGATTTGGCATTTAAGTCCCCAGCTCTATTCTATTCCCATACACGATGGAGACTTGGCAACTTCACGCCTGCACCTAACTCTTGCGCTATGATACACGTCGCCTATGATAGCCCTCAGAATTCCCCACCTTACTCCCCTTTATGTTCAGGCTGCCCGTTTTGGAGCCCTCAGTTGCCTGACGATCGTAGTAATACGTGAAACTCAGAGTTGTCACAAAGCTTCAAATCTCTCTTGTAATACAGAAATACCTATATTCTGCCTGTGGCTACTCACAGAGAAAGAGTGGTCGCAACTGTAAATTCCGCATGTAACTGTTCGCTTGGAAATATAGTGGTCACAACTGTGACAGCTCAAAGGGAATTATAATTTCCACAACAAATCCTGCAGTACGAATCACTCCGCGAGCAGTCATGAACTGTGTGCATTACACATGTACATGTATGGTGATTTGTAACTGGTCATGGGGCATTGTGACTGGTAAGCTTATTTGTGACTGGTCATGGGGAGTTTGTGACTGTTTGACTGGTCACGGGGACCGGGATTGGTCATGGGGCCTTGACTGGTCACTGAATCCTGCATATAATTATACTGTACAAGGACCTTCTTTGATATTCAAAAACTAACTGTCTTGTACAGGGGCTGATCCAGAGATCTCTACAGGGGGATGCAGTTTATCCAAAGCTGAATAGCTGATACATGTATAGTACATGCATATGAATTCCAGTACAGTCAGACCTCGCCTAACCTCACACATCCGTTTTCCACAGAAGTATCCTGATAGGTGAGGGAACGGATAAACAAACATACTGTATGTTTGCATGGCATATGCTGTAAATCGTTAACCTAGGATTTTCTTGCGGATGTTGCGAGGGATCCGGATAAAAGAGGGCCGGAAAAGCGAGGTCTGCCTGTAGTACCTTTGCGAAATTTAGGGGATTCCCCTGAACCCCTGGAACCCCTGGACTCGTCCCTGTTATAGCATACAGTGCTGTATAGCACCTTACCTGGGTGAGTTGCTCGTTTCGTTTTTTCTCATACTCTGCTTCGCGTTGTGCTCTTTTCTTCATAAACACTGAAAATAATTCCATGGTAATGTCTGCTCTCTGGTCCAGGTTGGCAGCCCGTACTATCTTCTCATCACGTGATAGGTCCGGCCACAATTCATCCAGCTCTTCTTCGTCCGGACATCTATGTTCCGTTTTGAGTAGAATTGCTAAATCTGCATTCAGTGAAAACTGCATCACGTGACCAAACAACAAACGAGGCAGAGTACAGCAAGGGTATGACAATAATGTACAGAGTACAGAGTACAAAAGAGTATGGCAAGGGTACATGCGAACCAGCGTGTATCACTGTATATTGACTAGAACAGTGATATGTATACAAGAAGACTAAAGATAATAATTGTATGAGCCGTCGACGGACTAAATGTACCTTAGGACCTGATTTCAATTTTCATCAAAATGTGACGTCAAAGGTACTCAAAGAAAACGCGACCGCGATCGATCGTGAAGGCAATGAAGTCGATCTTGACTTTTTTTGTTTGCAGGTTAGATCGATCAATCGATCCATTGTAGGCAGCCAGAATGGCGAGTACTAGTAACAATGTTGCATCGAGTTTGTCGGTGTGCCGCATGAAGTCGCGTCTCTCCTAGACGAGCACGAAGAGTCGTTTTACTGCGATGTCCCCAGTTACCACGACAGCGAGCGCAAAGATTGCGATGACGCAAACGACAACTCGTTTGCAGAGAAGTGCCAGCTCCGTCCGTCTGATAACGACGAAGACGAGAGTTATAATGACTTGGAGCAGGAAGGTCCACGTGTCGAGGAAACCCTAATCGCCACAGAGATCGTGGACTGGATGTCAATCGGATGTAGCTGCGCTGGTGACAATCACTTTGCTGCGCTTGACAAGGACCTCTGGAAAATCGCGTCATGTCGCTCGCCGGCTGAAGCGCCGCTCTCGCCAAAGTCACAGCCCACTCTTCAAAAAGTACGGACTGGATGAACTGGCTGCCTCAGTGACCACGGGATTCGCGAACTCGGCAACAAGTATGATACTGTATAAATTTACATAGCCGAATTTGACAATTATAGTGCATTGTACAATATTATGGAGAATTCAAGGTACTTGCAAGGCTAATATTGATTCGAAAGTTTGTCTCATGGAAGTCTACATACTAAAGTACGTTTTCCATATAAAAAGGAAATTTCAAAAATTTCACACCTATAAGTAGTCCATTTACTGAGATCATGGCTCATAAACAAATCCGAAGAGAAGGAAAGAACAACTGAAGAGGCAAAGCACATGAAGCACGGAAGTATCTCCCAAGCCAAGTAAGCATGCCGTTATGGTGCGAGATCATACAACTGTGGTACAAATCTAGTACGGGAGTACATAAACTACAGGTCACATATGCCATGGGGAATCCATATACATTAAGCAGTACCACTATAATGACTGATAGAATGATAGAATCACCCGTACACATTTCAGACGTGCGTTTCACAGTAGCACTTTGATTCGAATTCACTCACCAGTGCTTGGGATGGCAGGCCTGTATCTGCTGTTGCCCATAGATTAGCCGCTCCCATCTGAGCCACTGCGGTCAACACAAGAGAAGTACCACCGGTAAACGTACTTGGTAATGTAATTTCACAATTTCCAGACAATCAATTTGTGCACACTAGCATGCCAGCAGCATTCCTACCTCCGCATTCACCATGTCAAAATCATATCCCACCACAGCCCTGGACAACAGGAGCATACATCAAACTGCCTTACTTCCTGTGCCGCTCGGATCAGACTGTGCTGTGTCGCTGGAGTAGAAAGTGCCAGTGCCACCTTTTTCCGGTAGAATGTCGTTTCCAGACATCTGTACAGAAGACCAGCAGTAAGGAATACACAGTTACTGAGATCCAGCAGTGTAACTCTGCCAAGGTTTTGAAAAGGTGAGAAAGACAGAACGGAATAAAAACTGATGCAATATTTTAGCCTGGACAAAAAGGGAGTGACTCTGCGAAAGCGCGTTCCCCACCACGGTACAAGCCTGTATAATAATTATACATGTTTGTACTGTACGAGGTGATTTGGCTTTTTTAACATTTTGGCATTTTTTAATATAATTAATGTGTAAAATATGCTTTTCTTCTGGCTGTTTCTCTGCTCCGGATGGCTGCATCGAAACATGGGTGGTGGCAATTGAGAGCCAGTTTATCCTGGATCAACATTGACCAGAAAATTTGGTGTTGATAGTGTAATTCTTCCTGCCACGTCGGTATAACTAGTGGTGGGTACTTTGCCATTTTCTGTAAAATGTGTCAAATAAGGAGGGCAGTGAATTCCTTCCGCAGGGCCTTTTGCCGACATCAGGCCGTCTTCCCATCACTAAAGACAATAATGAAGAACAGTAGGTAAAGGAAACTCTCTGTGAGAATGAAAACATGGCTGCGATGCTATGCTACCTATCCAAATCTACCGTATGACACAGCCACTAGTTACAAATACAAAAACACGGCTTTCGCAACATACAATGCAGTTGGCAGGTTAATTTTCATCCAATAGCAATCCTTCAAGTGATATCTATCAACTTCAGAACATTGTTGACCAAATATCCCAGTTTGTGATGCCATTTTCACAAATTTGTAAAAAATGACACACCATTTATTTCAATCCAGAGAATACTATAGAAAATAGGACATGATTCTATACACTTTCCAAAGTGGGATCATTTCCATTTGAGACAACAGGCATGAAGGATAGCACTTCCACTTGCAACGTAGCTTGCCTAGAAGTGGCGTATTTATATTATTTGGTGGAATATTGGCGGCCCTTTCTAGCACCAAAGTATTGTTTTTGTTACTTGACCTTGCAATGTCCATTTGATGAAAACCAGTTTGGCTTCAGGAAACATTGTTCCACCGTGCAGCTGCTAACGAAAGTCACGAAGGACTGGCTCCATGCCCGTGATGGAGGCCTTTCCGCAGGTCTAGCCTGCATAAACCTACGGAAAGCGTTTGACGCAGTCCGCCACCAAATACTCCTCGAGTCCCTCTCCAGCGCAGGAATTGGTGGAATACCACTGAACTGGTTTGCGTCGTATCTGTCGGAAAGGACACTGCGGCTTGTAACCCAACGTGGATGCTCCAGCACCTTGGTCATCTCAAGTGGAGTTCCTCAGGGCACTGTCCTGGGGCCTGTGCTGTTCAATTTGTATGTCCGTGAGCTCCCCAAGACCGCAGAAGCGCATGGTTTTCATCTCCCCATGTTCACCTATGACATGACTCTGTACACATCCCACAAATCCCTTCACCTTGCCGCACAAACACTTAACTTGGCGCTCTCGTCACTCTCTGCTGCTGTATTGGACCTTGGTCTAATGGTTAATGTAGACAAGCCTGTTGTCTTGTTCCTCTCCCCATCCCCAGTTCCAAACCCGCCTCCACTTATCTCCATAAATCATGTCCCTCTGACCGTTGTTGACTCAACCAGAATCCTAGGCGTATACATAGACTGCCGCTTGACCTGGACACCCCATATTGATGGCATTGTGCGCAAGGTGTCAAAGAAGATAGGCGCTCTCCAGGGGTCTTTCAGATGTTTGTCAATACCTGCTCGCCGTTCCTGCTGTCATTCTCCCGGATCTTTTGTATTGCTCCCAGTCTTTCCTCACGAAGTTGTCTGATCAGGATAGGAACAGATTACAATCACTGTTTCTGCGGGCTGTTCGCCAAGCATGTTGGGCGACCACTACTACTGAAGTGAATATATCGCAACAATATTGCTCAAACCTGAAAATGGGGGTGCGACTTATAATCGGGGAAATACGGTATCCTAAGGTCAAAAAGAGACTCAAGGGTCATAAACGTTCAGGGAAAATCCCTAAGCTATAGTCTAGACGAGTGTTTGTCAGTTCAACAAGCAACCTTGATCCAGCATTGGATTGTTGAAACTGTTGCAAAAGAAGGATCCACGAGCGGGATTGGAACCCAGCACCTCTGTGTTTTCGGGACAGTGCCCTACCGGCTAGGATACCATAGATTACACACACCGGAGATCACGCACAACTGGGATCACACACCGGGATCACGCACCCCGGCTGTTGGGCTCATCTTGCCACAAAACTCACTGGTGCGTCACTGAGGTCCACCATGCCTGGCCAGGAAGGCAATTGATGTTCCTGCTGATGGTGTTGCTCGTGCGTTGGCTCTGGCTGCTCCTGGGGTTGCTCCAGGGATTCAGGTGATGCTTGCAACTGCGGTGGCGAACCGCCAGACTGCGCTGGAGGACTCTACAAGGAACAGAAAGATCACCAATAACAGGATTCAACACAATGAATAAAGCCAGTTGCGCATTCATCATGCCTATCTTTTTCAGGAGGTTGATTACAGGATTAGGATATTCTCAGAACAAATTCACAATGCACATAGAGAGCTGGAGCACATTAAAACGGTGCCAACTAGCGGGTATTTAGATCATACTTACTGTATCACTATTATGATATTATCAGACATACATGTATCACAAAGATCACATATTGGCAAATAATTACTGTTTACATAACACTCCTTTTTAGGGAAAAGTGCAATGCTACATGGAAAAGTGCAGTGGTATTTATTGACTCAAAGCAAATTGATGTGTGTATGTGTGTGTGTGTGGGTGTGTGTGACTTTGTGTGTCTGTTTACTCACACTGCGCTGGTGTCCCGACAGTGCCTTCACCGAATATCCAGAGTAAGGTGGGTGACCATGCTGCACCGGTCTGTTGCCAGGACGATAGTACGGAGAGCTCGTATCAGCGTATACAGCTCTGCCACTCGGTCCCCTGGGGGAGAAATGCCGTTGGCGTATTACCATACTGTAACTGTTGTAGACTGCTGCCAGTCGTTGCTGGCGGCAGGGAGGCTCTTGCGGCTGCTGCTGTTCTTTCGTCTGCTGCTGTTGTTGCGGCTGCTGCTGCTGTTGTTTCGGCTGCTGTGCCTGCGGCTGCTGTTGTTGCGGCTGCTGCTGTTGTTGACGCTGCTGTAGGCGCTCAATAAGTGCCAACAAGCCTTTGTACCTTGCATATGTCTGATTCAACGAGAGCACATCATCAGGAATATCGCAAAGAAATAACAGAATACATTGCCAGCCCTCGTCAATGACACCGTAGAAGAGCACAGTGATTCAGGAACCCCGAAAAGGGAAGTGAATTGCACTTGCGCAAGAGTTCCTGCTACTGAAGCCCAGTATTCCAAGCACTCAAACATGCTTAGCTAAAGGGCCCATTGGAACACATCTCCAGATTCTCCTCAATCCAGCTGGGAATTTCCCTGAACGTGCAGGAACCTTGAGTCTCTTTTTGACCTTACTGGTATTCACTCAAATTCAAGCTATGAAAAGTCATCCACAGTTATATTACTGGTAGTAGCATGGCTAGGTATACTGAAGTCAAAACTGTGTTCACCTTGATGATCCGCCATGCCCGAGATTTTGGTGAATATTGTTGTATTTAGTTTTGTCTTCGTTTTGTTTCCCCTTCCTCCGTACATGTAGTAGTATTTGTTTCAAAAAACGTGACTAGTGATTCATGCTCAGCAGCTCATAGTAAAACATGACAAAGAAAACTATGAAAACTCACATGGTCATCAAACAGCGCCGGATTGATGCCAATGTTTGGCGCATCCAATCCATAACGCCAGGGTCGATCTGGTAAGCTGGAGTGGCCAACAGCTGCGTGGTTTCTGCGAGGTCTCCAAACCATTGACTCGCGCCTTCAATTGGACATTCTGCATGCAACAATTAAACGCACAAGGTAGAGTATTGGTCTCGTGTTTACAATGACAGATGGTCGAATAAAAGTAGGCACTGCTGACACGATAACTCGAGAATGAGATATCTGTGACTCGCTCTCTTTGTCGCTTCCCCTGTTTCGTCCTATAGGCCATTGTTGGCAATCACCCATATCTCTAATACTTGGCAGTCTCAACGACATGCTATGAAATATTGATAGCTTCCAATCTCTCTTGTGTATGATGATAATTATAAACCATGGATCATAGGACCAGTAGGACTCACCTCCTGACTCAATTCTCCACTCCGATTCCAATTTCTTCAAATAGGCTTTCGCCCTTTCTCGTGATGCACGAGCAGATGATGCATTTGCTAGTTTCCTACCACCAAAAAGCATCGCACAGCAGAAAAACTAATAAGAAATCTGGAATAAAGATTGAACTAAAATACTAATTGATTGAAGGAAATTATCATGTAGCACATGCATCTGCGTAATCCACACCAGTCCAAATCAACATAGGGAATTTAAAAACTGAACATTTTTGTTCCCTTCTCTTCATAGGCCTCTTATAGGAATACAGGAAAATGACTGAGATAGTTTATATATTTGAGTACTTAGTAAGACAGTGTAAGGATTGCAATAAACAGAACCAGCTGAAGCGACGTTGTTGTCACATGACTGTTGTTGCCGCCTTTTCAAATATGACCAAGACAGCAAATTATAACATCAGCAAAGCCGTCAGGCCCCTCTCTAAGACAGCAAATTATAACATGGGCAAAGCCTTGAGGGAGATAAACATCACCCTACAAAAACATTAGCGGGTCAAAAACAGCATGAAGATCAAATCATAATACTAACAAATTGAACGCGTCCATTAGTTCTTCCGCCTGTGTCTACGCAATATGGCATGCGTTCTATTTCTTTCCTGGCGTCAGACAGATGGAATGCTCTTCCCATTGACTGCCGTCAGGCCCCGTCTCTTATGTAAACATGGTAAAATGTCACCTAGGGTTCCCAGTAAAAAGGCAACGCCTGTTGGGACTCCCTAGTAAAATAATAAAATCTACTACTACTACTACTACTACGTACATTTATCCTCATTTGAAAATACCGCCATTCGGCAACAGGCTCTCAGCCGAACCAAATCGATAAATAAATAACTTTGCCAATGTTTCGCCCATTGTGCATCAACAGTGCATTGAGGAAGAGGAGGCAAAAAGCAAGAAACAGCTGAGTTCACGTCATAGTCTCTTTCTGCCATTTTCAACCGCTGCTTGCTGTCCAGTACTCAGGCCAGGGGTGGAAATCTGCCGTTGTTGTACCTGTGTTCAAGGGGAAAGATAATCCTTCCCACCCAGTCCATTACAGTCCTATATCATTGTTGAGTGCAGTTGCCAAATTGTATGAGTCTATGATTAGCCCAGTTTTACTCTTTTTTATCAGCTCCAGCCAGTTTGGGTTTTGTCAAAAGAGGTCAACAGTCAATCAATACAATTTTCCCCACTTCTCTCCTCATCAATCCCTACTTCTCTTTGTACATACATCTACATCTACTGTTCTTTCAATCAAATGAACTCTCGATAGGCAGATTGCCTTTGGGTCATTTCATAATAATAATAATAATAATAATAATAATAATAATAATAATAATAATAATAATAATTTCAAAATTTTGAAGGACGCTTCACGCAGCTTCATTATACTTGAATTGTTTGCAGGCAACCAACGATACCAATGGATTTGTGTGAAATGCAGTGCTCTCTTGAGTGTAGGCAGGTTGCCTGCAACAATTCAAATAATAATAATAATAATAATAATACACAGAGGCAATATGCTTTGGTTCTGCTAGAGTGCTCAATGCCTGATTCAGGCAGAGCGGCGTACACAAAGGCACACAATGAAAAACCTTGGCAAATTTATTCCGTTGTGACTCAGAGTTTCATGGCTGAACCAATCATCAGACAACGATAATGGAATAGGAGGCAGCGCTGGTATATCTAAGTGGAGAGAGGTGTGATAATACGATAGCGAGAGGAGTAATCGCGTGAATGTATACAGGGACGGGCTATTTCAGAAGCAGATGCAGTAGGCGCAGGTCTAGCACTAACAAGTACGCGCTTAATCTCGCTCACACACCACACACACACATACTAACACGCACACACATAGTAACACCCACACACACATACACGCCCACACTAACACACACACACACATACACCCACCCACAACACCCTAACTTGCACACGGGCGCACGCACACACAGGACACCCACCCACCCACAACACCCTAACTCGCACACGCACAAACACACGCACACACGCATATACACACACCTATAGACACATGTCCACACGTATACACAGGCATCTGCATTCGTACGACAAATCTAAGCGCACACAAACTCCTACAATCACGCGTCAAAAAAAACCGCAGCGGTCATAGCTGTCTATGTAATAGGGGTGGCCAGCAGAAACTTGCGCTGGTGAGGGCATTTAGATACCAGCTCACTTCTCTTGTTTAGGGAGGTAGCTTTTGAAGCTTTCAGGATGTGGAACTTTTCGGTTAAGCATAGGCCACACTTCTTGCTGATGTTACTGTACGAAGGTGCTCTATCCTTGATCTCCCATCTGATGTCGAATCCGCGGTTCTCGTTTTTCAGATCCCAGATGTGCTTGGACAACTTAGTCGATGCGGCGTACTTTTCATGGCGGAAGTCCGAAGTGTGTTTGTTGTAGCGCTGCTTGAATGTGGTAGCAGTCATGCCGACGTAGGTCTTGGCTTCGTTGGATGCTACATGCGCCTCGTACACGACGTCGGAAGACTGGCAGTCACCGTTGAGGGGGCACGACGCCTTGACCCGACAATTACATGGCACAACTGGCGGTCGTGAGTGAAGTTTTGCAGCATTGTGCCCTTTGATAATCGACGCTACGTTCTTCATACAGCTGTAGCTTACTTTTGTTGTGTTCTTGTTAAACACCTTGTGTAGCGCCGACCCTTCAGGGAAGTGTTTCTTGACGAGGTATAGAAACTTTGCGCCAACGTTGGTTTTGACTGTGGTACTGTACGGCGGGTTAAACCAGATGACGTCACGGCTGCGCCCTTTCTTCGCTTTTTTCTTCTTGTTGCTCGGTTCATCCTTGTATGTCCTGGTTTTCGGGTGGCCACTTCAGGCCAGTGCTACACAAGGTGTTTAACTACACAAGGTGTTTAACGGCAGGAGTGGGCGTTCTGTCACAGACTCCCTCAGACCCAAGGCAATTTTTGAAGTTTTTTAGGTTCAGGGCGTGCTACGAGGTCAACAACAGCAACAAGAACAACAAGAACAACAACAACAACAACTACAACAATAACAACAACAACAACATCAGCCGCAACAAGAGCAGCAACAACAACAACAACAACCACAGCAGCAACAAGAGCTGCAACAACAACAGTGACAACAACAATAACAACAGCAGCAACAACAGCAGCAACACAGCAACAACAGCAGCAACAACAGCAGCATCAAAAACAGCAGCAACAACAGCATCAACAACAGCAGCATCAACAACAGCAGCAACAACAGCAGCCGCTGTAACAGCTACAACAATAGCAACAACAACAGCAGCAGCAACAATAGCAACAACAACAGCAGCAACAACAGCAGGAACAACAGCAACAACAGCAGCAGCAACAACAGCAGCAATAACATCAGGAACAACAGTAACAACAACAGGAGCAGCAATAGCCGGAACAACAGCAACAACAGCAACAACGACAGCAACAACAACATTGTGCTATATTGAAGAATTGGAGATGGTTCCAATTTGCTCCGGGAAATACCTTCTTTGATCTCGCTCATCGTCCTGAAGATGACTCAGGTTTTCCCGCGGCTTCCGAGCCGGCTTTTCCTGCTGCGGGATCAAACCTTTTTCAGCACTCATGGTGACCGTGACTACTGCGTGTGACGGTTGTAGGCAAACAAACTTTGCAAGGAAAGCAAAAAGAGCGGGGAACGCAAGAAGAGTTTGGGAGAGTCTGTAGCTGCTTCTTACTCTGTCAATCCAGGAAAGTTATGCTGGTTTTCATGAGGAACGTGGTTTTATAAAGGAGAAAGCTTCTCCGCTCTCCTACGCGACATAGCGTGACTGACTTCCGTGAACCATTCCACCTCTCAAAGAGATAATTAGTTTTTCAGTACAGTGTGTATGGTTCAAGTGCATGTTGACCCTACATCAGCCACACACATACTTCGGCTTCTTGGCACCTTTTAACTTGCGGTAAACAGAATACAATGGGCTTGGACCGATAGTTGGATGCGCGGGGATAGATCACCCTCGTATCAGAGAATGCATGGCTAGTTTCCTGCAGACCTATTGGTTGAGAACTATTGAGCAGATCAATGATTATTGCGTATTAGAACCTTCACTATACTGTCGTTTTATTCTCTACCAACGCGCAGTTTTGGCGAACAATAGTAGAGGTCCGCAAGGGCTTCCTGCGTCACAACTCGGTGCGCTCTGTAAGGAGCTGAATGTGCTGCAAGCCTACCCACCAACCCGAATAGAAACTTTGCCGTGTATTTGGCCCCCAACAGCGAATCGCAACACCACGACGACACTGAGATGGCCGCAGAAACCCTGATCACTGGTCCATCCGCACAGCAGATCAACTCTGAGACTGAGGACGTTACGTGTTTCAGCATAGCACTCGTATTGGATCTTCATTGCCCGATGGGCTCGCATGCACTACCGCATGACTATACTGTAGTACGCGTTCGACCAAGGAGAGTGGGCCCTTTCTGCTCCAGCGAAGTATTGCTCCTATTGCAAGAAGATTGATCGTGACAACTGAAATTTTGGATTCCTATCCGCGTAGCGCTACAAGACCAGTAGTAGGTGAGAGTACGTTTACTGGTGTACATGAGGATGCAGCAAGGCTTAGGGTGCTGCTGAACTGGTGCGGCAAGGGTGCTGCTGCACCAGTGCGGCAAGGGTGCTGCTGCACCAGTGCGGCAAGGGAGCTGCTGCACTGGTGCGGCAAGGGTGCTGCTGCACCGGTGCAGCAAGGGTGCTGCTGCACTGGTACGCCGGGTCGCACGCCTCCTGTCGCTGCGTGGGAGGGAGGCGTGGTGGTTTCCGATCTTCGCTGCAGGCTGGCTTTGGCCCTGTTGCGTTTGAGTGTTGTGTGTCTGCTTGGGGCTCAACGAGTTTGGAGGCCGCCTATGGAGGACTGTGGCTCCCTGGCTGTCGTGGATGCTAAGGTGGCCCTTTGAGCCTTGGCCCATGCTTGTAACTTGAGCATGTGTGAGCTTCTCTAGCTCTCTGATCACTTTATTTTAATTTTAAAAGTTTTGTGGAAATTAACCAAGAAAAATGGCTTTCATTATATGAGTTGTTTTCCATTCCTTAAAATGGCAAATTGTGTTTTGTTCGCCCATAAAAGAAGCTTTAGGCAACCCTACAAATAAATAAAACGAGACTTTGCACTTCACGCTTTTTTCAAATTTCCAAAGTGTGAAGAACTGTGCGTTGGATCGATATTTTTCCCCTTGACTTTGCCCACTGTCGCCCTGAAATCTCACGTCGCAACGTGAGGAATGCCATTTTGGCCGTGAGATCTCCCTTAGGAAATTGAAAAAAAAGTGAACTGCGTAAATTCTCTGGTGCCAACCTACTAGCCGCACTGTACCTAGTCTATGGTCAGTCGTCCGTTATAATGTACTTTTTTATTTTATTTTTACCTGTTACATGTGACAACCAAATCATGCTTGAAGCGTCATCCAGCTACCTCAGCCGACTGGACCGAGTCCAGCACAGCGCCCTCGGAATCATCGGTCCAGCACAGCGCCCTCGGAATCATCGGTCCGGGAGCAATACTGCCTAGTCTGGCAATCAGACGGACAGTAGCTGCCCTAGCTTGTTTATACAAACTACAAGTAATTACGGGCCCACCTCAGCTTCTCGCGGTTCTGCCAGCTCGCCGTCAGCAGTCGGCCAACCCGCGAACCCGGAGCGACAATGCCAGCGCTGCTGGCCACCAGTTTCAACTGGACGCCAGCCTGCCAGCCTCTACCTTGTTAGTCCTGAAGCGATCATTTCCCCACTGTGTGCTCCACCAGTGGAATGCATTGCCCTGTGATCTGCTCCTGCATCTTTCCTATCGCAGCCGAATGCAGGCATTCATTACGCAGGTATACCGCTACCTGCGCGCGGAGAACTGGATGTGGGCTACTGACTCAGTCTAATCGCACCTATCTAGTATCTTCATGTAGGTATTGCTCTCATTTTCCTTGTTTTCTCTACTCTCTGTCTCTGTCTCTCTCATTCTTTTCTCTCTCTCTCTCCCTCTCTCTCTCTCGGTCTCTCTGTCTCTCTCTCTGTGTCTCTCTCTCTCTCTCTCTCTCTCTCTCTCTCTCTCTCTCTCTCTCTCTCTCTCTCTCTCTCTCTCTCTCTCTCTCTCTCTCTCTCTCAGTCTCTCTCTCTCTCTCTATCTCTCTCTCAAGTAAAAAATGAATAAATGCACGGCTAGAAGACGCACCATCCCTCGCTAGTTTCCAGACTGTTCTCATTATCATTGCCGCCATATTCTTGTAAATGACTTGCTCCGCTGATATATCACCATGCACATGTTAGTCCGTGGACGACAGGGCTTGGCTAGGGAGGTGCCAAGCCTACTGGCTGGTCGAGCTGAAATCACCATTCCCAACACTACAGTGACTACACTGTCTGTTTTTTTACACTTTTGCCAGCTAGCTGGCCTCCGCGCACACCGCAGACACACCCACGCACAACAGAAAGATACAGATCACAATAGTAGTAGTGTGGTCTTCGTTCACTCACGGTGGAATATGGAAGAGCTTAGCGTAGTGTATACATGAGCAAGAAGAAGGGCATGCCACCTCACACATTATACATGTACACGTATGTACCAGACCAACATGGTGCAAAAAGTGAACCACTGTGGTGAATGGGGCCGCCGGATAATTAACCAACCCGAAGCTGGCGGAAAAAACCCCAGGACCCCGGCGGAGGCACATCCCTGAGGAAAAACCGGTTAGAATATCCCCATCAGATAAATGAAAAAAACGTAGCCTGCTGGACCTATCCAGAAGTGAGAATAAAGGGGAGGGCGGGTGGGAAACTACAACAAAAAGAGAAAGACCACGATGAAGAGAAAGGCTTGAGAACACTGAAAAAACCCAGCTAACACAATCCTGGTGCCGTAACTAAGGTGAAAATGCTGGCAAAAATTAAATTTTTCTTTTCATTCGCTACGCTGAGCCACCGAAAAATAACGCTTATTTTTATTTTTATGGACCAAATCCAAAAGCGAGTTTCTTCCCAATAATAAGGTGGGGAAGAGACAACGTATAAGAGAAGGAAGAGATGAAGGTAAAAGCCCGGTGATCTTATCTACAGCAAAACAAAAGCCAGGGTGGACAGCCTAATGACTTCCAGGAAGACGTCCATTAGGGACTTGTGGGAGTTCTCAGCAACAGGTGCTCCACTTATGGACTGATCTTGCTGATTACCACCATCGCCAGTGATGTCGGACTGTCCTGACAACTGTAAGGAACAAGGAACACACACACAAATCAAGAGAAGGGTCAAACGAATCAAAAGAAAACAGCAAATACACAGAAAAGCTTTCACCAGGATTACCACCTATGGCCCGCGTAATAACAAGATCATAAAAAAAAGACTCTAGAGTGTTCAACTATCTTCGCAACTTTTCGCCGATGGCCGAGATTTTTCGATGTGCAATGTTAACGTAACCTTTTTCAGGAAACATCACGCGTGCCGTACAGAGCACGTGCAGAGTCGCAGACGCCACAGAGCAGTGGGAGAGCACGTGCTGGGCTCCGACCTTCAACAGGAGTCTGTGTTTTTGAGGTTTTTGTGCATCGCTTTCGCAATGGGCATGTCTGAGGTCTGAGGTGTCTGTGTGTGTACGCGCGTGTGCGTGTATGTGAGAAAAGGGACAGAGTGTGAGTGTGTGTGTGTGTAATGGTGTGGGCATGTGTGGATTTGGCATTTAAGTCCCCAGCTCTATTCTATTATCATATACGATGGAGACTTGGCAACTTCATGCCTGCACCTGACTCTTGCGCTATGATACACGTCGCCTATGATACCCCTCAGAATTCCCCACCTTACTCCCCTTTATGTTCAGGCTGCTCGTTTTGGAGCCATCAGTTGCCTGACGATCGTAGTAATACGTGAAACTCAGAGTTGTGACAAAGCTTCAAATCTCTCTTGTAATACAGAAATACCTATATTCTGCCTGTGGCTACTCACAGAGAAAGAGTGGTCGCCACTGCAAATTCCGCATGTAATTGTTCGCTTGGAATTATAGTGGTCACAACTGTATTCTGTGACCGCTGAAAGGGAATTATAGTTTCAACAACAAATCCTGCAGTACGAATCACTCCGCGAGCAGTCAAGAACTGTGTGCTTTACACATGTACATGTATGGTGATTTGTAACTGGTCATGGGGCATTGTGACTGGTAAGCTAATTTGTGACTGGTTATGGGGAGTGTGTGACTGTTTGACTGGTCACGGGGACCGTGATTGGTCATGGGGCCTTGACTGGTCACTGAATCCTACATATAATTATACTGTACAAGGACCTTCTTTGATATTCAAAAACTAACTGTCTTGTACAGGGGCTGATCCAGAGATCTCTACAGGGGGATGCAGTTTATCCAAAGCTGAATAGCTGATACATGTATAGTACATGCATATGAATTCCAGTACAGTCAGACCTCGCCTAACCTCACACATCCCTTTTCCACAGAAGTATGTACTGATAGGCGAGGGAACCGGATAAACACACATACTGTATGTTTGCATGGCATATGCTGTAAATCGTTAACCTAGGATTTTCTTGCGGATGTTGCGAGGGATCCGGATAAAAGAGGGCCGGAAAAGCGAGGTCTGACTGTAGTACATTTGCGAAATTTAGGGGATTCCCCTGAACCCCCGGAACCCCTGGACTCGTCCCTGTTATAGCATACAGTGCTGTATAGCACCTTACCTGGGTGAGTTACTCGTTTTGTTTCTTCTCAAACTCTGCTTCGCGTTGTGCTCTTTTCTTCATAAATACTGAAAATAAGTCCATGGTAATGTCTGCTCTCTGGTGCACGTTGGCAGCCCGTACTATCTTCTCATGACGTGATAGGTCCGGCCACAATTCATCCAGCTCTTCTTCGTCCGGACATCTATGTTCCGTTTTGAGTAGAATTGCTAAATCTGCATTCAGTGAAACCTGCATCACGTGACCAAACAACAAACGAGGCAGAGTACAGCAAGGGTATGACAATAATGTACAGAGTACAGAGTACAGAGTACAAGAGAGTATGGCAAGGGTACATGCGAACCAGCGTGTATCACTGCATATTGACTAGAACAGTGATATGTATACAAGAAGACTAAAGATAATAATTGTATGAGCCTTCGACGAACTAAATGTACCTTAGGACCTGATTTCAACTTTCATCAAAATGTGACGTCAAAGTTACTCAAAGAAAACGCGACCGCGATCGATCGTGAAGGCAATGAAGTCGATCTTGACTTTTTTTGTTTGCAGGCAATGCTGCAACCAACCAAGCCCCCAGCTGTAGCTAGCATGTGCACACGGCAAAAACGTCAGACGCACCATGGCTTTCAGTTGAAGTTGACACCCCCTCGCACAGCCCCTAACTACCTCCTGCGATCCTTCCCCTTCTTCGCCATCACACCCTGCAACAACCTGCCTGCGGACCTCCTGCTTCATGAACCTCATTCAGGGCGCCTCCAAACCTTCAAGATCAACGTATGTAAGGATCTAATCGGAAAGAGATGGCTGTGGTGCACACAGTACTAGTAGCTTTGACGATGATATTGAGACCCATTTATCTTTCTACTAGTACTTTGCTTGTTATGATTATTGTTTTCTTTTTTCTTTTTCCCTTCCGGTTTAGTTATTACACGTCATTATATTATTTGGTGGAATATTGGCGGCCCTTTCTCGCACCAAAGTATTGTTTTTTTTACTTGACCATGCAATGCCCATTTGATGAAAACCAGTTTGGCTTCAGGAAACATTGTTCCACCGTGCAGCTGCTAACGAAAGTCACGAAGGACTGGCTCCATGCCCGTGATGGAGGCCTTTCCGCAGGTCTAGCCTGCATAAACCTACGGAAAGCGTTTGACGCAGTCCGCCACCAAATACTCCTCGAGTCCCTCTCCAGCGCAGGAATTGGTGGAATACCACTGAACTGGTTTGCGTCGTATCTGTCGGAAAGGACACAGCGGGTTGTAACCCAACGTGGATGCTCCAGCACCTTGGTCGTCTCAAGTGGAGTTCCTCAGGGCACTGTCCTGGGGCCTGTGCTGTTCAATTTGTATGTCCGTGAGCTCCCTAAGACCGCAGAAGCGCATGGTTTACATCTCCCCATGTTCGCCGATGACATGACTCTGTACACATCCCACAAATCCCTTCACCTTGCTGCACAAACACTTAACTTGGCGCTCTCGTCACTCTCTGCTGCTGTATTGGACCTTGGTCTAATGGTTAATGTAGACAAGCCTGTTGTCTTGTTCCTCTCCCATCCCCAGTTCCAAACCCGCCTCCACTTATCCCCATAAATCATGTCCCTCTGACCGTGGTTGACTAAACCAGAATCCTAGGCGTAAACATAGACTGCCGCTTGACCTGGACACCCCATATTGATGGCATTGTACGCAAGGTGTCAAAGAAGGTAGGCGCTCTCCAGCTGTCTTTCAGATGTTTGTCAATACCTGCTCGCCGTTCCTGCTGTCATTCTCCCGGATCTTTTGTATTGCTCCGCTTCTTTCCTCACGAAGTTGTCTGATCAGGATAGGAACAGATTACAATCACTGTTTCGGCGTGCTGTTTGCGCAGCATGTGGGGCTGAACACTACTACTGAAGTGAATATATCGCAACAATATTGCTCAAACCTGAAAATGGGAGTGCGACTTATATTCGGGGAAATACGGTATCCTAAGGTCAAAAAGAGACTCAAGGGTCATAAACGTTCAGGGCGAATACCTAAGCCATAGTCTAGACGAGTGTTTGTCAGTTCAACAAGCAATCTTGATCCAGCATTGGATTGTTGAAACTGTTGCAAAAGAAGGATCCACGAGCGTGATTCGAACCCAGCACCCCTGTTTTTTCGAGACAGTGCCCTACCGGCTAGGATACCATAGATCACACACACCGGAGATCACCCACCACGGGGATCACACACTGGGGATCACGCACCCGGCTGTTGGGCCCATCTTGCCACAAAACTCACTGGTGCGTCACTGAGGTCCACCATGCCTGGCCAGGAAGGCAATTGATGTTCCTGCTGATGGTGTTGCTCGTGCGTTGGCTCTGGCTGCTCCTGGGGTTGCTCCAGGGATTCAGGTGATGCTTGCAACTGCGGTGGCGAACCGCAAGACTGCGCTGGAGGACTCTACAAGGAACGGAAAGATCACCAATAACAGGATTCCACACAATGAATAAAGCGAGTTGCGCATTCATCATGCCTATCTTTTTCAGTAGGTTGATAACATGATTAGGATATTCTCAGAACAAATTCACAATGCACATAGAGAGCTGGAGCACATATTAAAATGGTGCCTACTAGTGGGTATTTAGATCATACTTACTGTATCACTATTATGATATTATCAGACATATATGTATCACAAAGATCACAATCACATTGGCAAATAATTACTGTTTATATAACACTCCTTTTTAGGGAACAGTGCAGTGCGATATGGAAATGTGCAGTGGTATTTATTGACTCAAAGCAAATTGATGTGTATGTGTGTGGTTATGTTTGTGTGTGCGTGACTATGTGTGTCTGTTTACTCACACTGCGCTGGTGTCCCGACAGTGCCTTCACCGAATATCCAGAGTAAGGTGGGTGACCATGCTGCACCGGTCTGTTGCCGGGACGATAGTACGGAGAGCTCGTATCAGCGTATACAGCTCTGCCACTCGGTCCCCTGGGGGAGAATGCCGTTGGCGTATTACCATACTGTAACTGTTGTAGACTGCTGCCAGTCGTTGCTGGCGGCAGGGGAGGGTCTTGCGGCTGCTGCTGTTGTTTCGTCTGCTGCTGTTGTTGCGGCTGCTGCTGCTGTTGTTTCGGCTGCTGTTCCTGCGGCTGCTGTTGTTGCGGCTGCTGCTGTTGTTGACGCTGCTGTAGGCGCTCAATAAGTGCCAACAAGCCTTTGTACCTTGCATATGTCTGATTCAACGAGAGTACAGTCATCATCAGGAATATCGCAAAGAAATAACAGAATACATTGCCAGCCCTCGTCAATGACACCGTAAAAGAGCACAGTGATTCAGGAACCCCGAAAAGGGAAGTGAATTTCACTTGCACAAGAGTTCTGCTACTGAAGCCCAGTATTCCAAGCACTCAAACATGCTTAGCTAAAGTGCCCATTGGAACACATCTACAGATTCTGCTCAATCCAGCTGGGAATTTCCCTGAACGTGCAGGACCTTTGAGTCTCTTTTGGACCTTACTGGTATTCACTCAAATTCAAGCTATGAAAGGTCATCCACAGTTATATTACTGGTAGTAGCATGGCTAGGTATACTGAAGTCAAAACTGTGTTCACCTTGATGATCCGCCATGCCCGAGATTATGGTGAATATTGTTGTTTTTTGTTTTGTCTTTGTTTTGTTTCCCCTTCTTTCGTAGGTATGTGCAATGTGATAAAAAACATGTGCTAGTATTTTAAAATATACTACTACATGTACATGTAGTAGTATTTGTGTCAAAAAACGTGACTAGTGATGCATGCTCAGCAGCTCATACTTCAAGTAGTAAAACATGACAAAGAAAACTATGAAAACTCACCTGGTCATCAAACAACGCCGGATTGATGCCAATGTTTGGCGTATCCAAATCCATAACGCCAGGGTCGATCTGGTAAGCTGGAGTGGTCAACAACTGCGTATTTTTCTGCGAGGTCTCCAAAACATTGACTCGCGCCTTCAATTGGACATTCTGCATGCAACAATAAACGCACAAGGGAGAGTATTGGTCTCTTGTTTACAATGACAGATGGTCGAATAGAAGTAGGCACTGCTGACACGATAACTCGAGAATGAGATATCTGTGACTCGCTCTCTTTGTCGCTTCCCCTGTTTCGTCCTATAGGCCATTGTTGGCAATCACCCATATTTCTAAATTACTTGGCAGTCTCAACGACATGCTATGAAATATTTATAGCTTCCAATCTCTCTTGTGTATAATGATAATTATAAAACATGGATCATAGGACCAGTAGGACTCACCTCCTGACTCAATTTCTCCACCTCCGATTCCAATTTCTTCAAATAGGCTTTCGCCCTTTCTCGTGATGCACGAGCAGATGATGCATTTGCTAGTTTCCTACCAAAAAAGCATCGCACAGCAGAAAAACTAATAAGAAATCTGGAATAAAGATTGAACTAAAATACTAATTGATTGAAGGAAATTCTTCAATGTAGCACATGCATCTGCGTAATCCACACCAGTCCAAATCAACAATAGGGAATTTAAAAACTGAACATTTTTGTTCCCTTCTCTTCATAGGCTCTTATAGGGAATACAGGAAAAATGACTAAGATAGTTTATATATTTGAGTACTTAGTAAGACAGTGTAAGGATTGCAATAAACAGAACCAGCTGAAGCGACATTGTTGTCACATGACTGTTGTCGCTGCCTTTTCAAATATGACTAAGACAGCAAATTATAACATGGGCAAAGCATTGAGGGAGATAAACATCACCCTACAAAAACATTAGCGGTCAAAAACAGCATGAAGATCAAATCATAATACTAACAAATTGAACGCGTCCATTAGTTCTTCCGCCTGTGTCTACGCAATATGGCATGCGTTCTATTTCTTTCCCGGCGGCAGACAGATGGAATGCTCTTCCCATTGACTGCCGTCAGGCCCCGTCTCTTATGTAAACATGGTAAAATGTCATCTAGGGTTCCCAGTAAAAAGGCAACGCCTGTTGGGACTCCCCTAGTAAAATAATAAAATCTACTACTACTACTTCTACGTACATTTATCCTCATTTGAAAATACCGCCATTCCGGCAACAGGCTCTCAGCCGAACCAAATCGATAAATAAATAACTTTGGCAATGTTTCGCTCATTGGGCATCAACAGTGCATTGAGGAAGAGGAGGCAAAAAGCAAGAAACAGCTGAGTTCACGTCATAGTCTCTTTCTGCCATTTTCAACCGCTGCTTGCTGTCCAGTACTCAGGCCAGGGGTGGAAATCTGCCGTTGTTGTACCTGTGTTCAAGGGGAAAGATAATCCTTCCCACCCAGTCCATTACAGTCCTATATTATTGTTGAGTGCAGTTGCCAAATTGTATGAGTCTATGATTAGCCCAGTTTTACTCGTTTTTATCAGCTCCAGCCAGTTTGGGTTTTGTCAAAAGAGGTCAACAGTCAATCAATACAATTTTCCCCACTTCTCTCCTCATCAATCCCTACTTCTCTTTGTACATACATCTACATCTACTGTTCTTTCAATCAAATGAACCTCTCGATAGGCAGATTGCCTTTGGGTCATTTCATAATAATAATAATAATAATAATATGTAAATAGGCGTCGAGGCGACAATAGTTTTAGAATTGCGATCAACAGAACGAGCTGAACCGACATTTTCACAAAGGCTTTTATTGTATTCAAAAAACGAGTGTATACGAAGGCAGTGAAGAACATGGAAGAAAGAAAAAATGTGATGTGGAAGAAATGATGAACAAAAAATTTGTACTTCGAACTAGTTTTCGCACAACACTCCTCAGGAAGCTACGTTGTACTAATGAAAAACAATCCAGAAAGATACTAATAAAGAGAAATGGAGTGAGAAGAAACAACACCTATGAAAATGATAATCCTAGCACTAAGGTAATAACAGGAAAAACTGCGAAAGCACTTAACGAACTTGTAAGGAGGACTACTAGTATACTGTGACACAAGATATGACACCATGGCCAACCAGAGCCAAACAGACAGAACAAGTTGCTACTAAAACAATTTCAAACGAATAATGCTGTCCTTCTGGACACACAGATTAGGCTTATGAATACGTTGACAAACGGCTTCTAACACACTCAACTGCAACTTATAACCATGACGAGCACGGCACAAAACAGAAAAAGAAGAATCAGAATAAACCTTACAGCAATCAGGACGAGATGCAAGATGCTTATACACTGATGACTTCCTACTAGAAAACACACGCTCACACCCACTCTTACTCACACGATCATTCTCGCTCTCACACTCACCGGAATCACTGGACTCACTGGCCGAATCCTCCTCAACGACTTCCTGCCTCGGAGAAATCAGGTCCCGTCTCCTCCCATCCCTCGTCTCACGTTCCTGTTGCGTATTCCGTTGGCTCGGTACTTCCGTACTGAAATAGGTCATGGTGTAATTAGCAGTTGTTCTTCTGGGTCTCGTTGATATTGAGGTAGGTATTGTTGTCGTCTCTGCCGGTGATGCAGCAAGCGATGCTGATGCAAACGTGTCTGCATGCAACACACGTGGCGTCGCCAAAGCCACATCCACCTCCGCTGGTGGAGGGAGTGACTTGGTCATGGCCACGGGAGCCAATGGTGGACTTGTCGAGTGAGACGCTAGGTCCTGTGTTGGCGGAGGTAGTGGTTGTTTACGGGGTCTTCCCCGCGTGGGACGCTCCAGTTGTGCGCTACGTGGGATAATGTGTAAAGGAGTGTGTTGCTTGATGCGTTCGCTCAGGTGCTGAACAGTCCTACCAACATACCGGCTAGCACAATTCCGGCATTCAAAGTTGTAGATTACATGACTTAAATGATGGGTTGGTAGGACATCCTTCAACACCGTGAACGAACGCATCGTTGTGTAGACGGGTATGAAGTGTACCGCATAGTAGGTTTGTTTGATGATCGCACGAACTTCACGACTCACATTGTCAGACTGCTTGCCCTTCCATGGTAAGCACAAAAAGACAGGACAACGAGCAGGCCCTATCAATTCATGTTTCGGCGTGGGGGCTGTAGACAATAGTTTTGCCAACATGTCGCCTGGGTATCCGTTTTTGGTGAAAACTGAACGGAGAAATTCGAGCTCACCACTGAGTTTACAAGGTGAACAGATCCGTTTGGCGCGATCCACGAGATTCTTTACTAAGTTGACTTTATAATTAGATGAACAGTACGAGTCATAGGAAATGTATTGTCCGGTGAATGTCGGTTTACGATACACCGATGTTACGCTACCAAATTCGGTTTTCTCAACAAGTACGTCGAGGAAGGATAACTTGCTTGACTGCTCGTGCTCACATGTGAAGCGGAGGGAAGGGTGAAGGGTGTTGAGAGCACCAAGAAAGACCTCGCTGTCTTCTATGGAATCAAAGTATGTGAACGAGTCATCAACGAAACGGAAATACAGACTCGGCCATAGAGACGCATCAATCTTACACTCACAGTAACCGACAAAGACATTAGCTAACACGGGACCCAACGGAGAGCCCATGGCTACTCCATCTATCTGCTTATACATCACGTCATTGAACGAAAACTCGACGCCAGTTGTGACTAACAACATCAAACGTCGAAAAGCACATTCAGGTAGCCACGGAATGTCAACTTCGTCAACACGGTACAACACATCCGCGCAGATATCAATTGTCGAGTTTTCGTTCAATGACGTGATGTATAAGCAGATAGATGGAGTAGCCATGGGCTCTCCGTTGGGTCCCGTGTTAGCTAATGTCTTTGTCGGTTACTGTGAGTGTAAGATTGATGCGTCTCTATGGCCGAGTCTGTATTTCCGTTTCGTTGATGACTCGTTCACATACTTTGATTCCATAGAAGACAGCGAGGTCTTTCTTGGTGCTCTCAACACCCTTCACCCTTCCCTCCGCTTCACATGTGAGCACGAGCAGTCAAGCAAGTTATCCTTCCTCGACGTACTTGTTGAGAAAACCGAATTTGGTAGCGTAACATCGGTGTATCGTAAACCGACATTCACCGGACAATACATTTCCTATGACTCGTACTGTTCATCTAATTATAAAGTCAACTTAGTAAAGAATCTCGTGGATCGCGCCAAACGGATCTGTTCACCTTGTAAACTCAGTGGTGAGCTCGAATTTCTCCGTTCAGTTTTCACCAAAAACGGATACCCAGGCGACATGTTGGCAAAACTATTGTCTACAGCCCCCACGCCGAAACATGAATTGATAGGGCCTGCTCGTTGTCCTGTCTT